GTTCTCAGTCTTTCCTGCTGGCCGCAGCAGTCTTTTTTATATTAAGCGGCCATATCGTTTGTTCGTTTTGTGATCATGCCGAATTTTGTAATTTTTTAACTTCCAGACTAGACCGTCTGCTTCATTTCTTCCTAATGGCTAAAGTTTCACGTCGAGTCCCGCCAGTACCGGAAGTTTTGATGAACATTTAAGAATTTCCTTAAGCAAAGAATTTACCAAACTTTGTTTAGACCAAAGTCGGTAGAGCGTCAAACTCACAACTGAGAGAACCTGAGTTAAAGCCCCGGTCGGAGTCACTTGATTTTCATCTGATAAATGGGAACAGTTCTGTGAGAAGGAAACAGTAAACCACACGCTACGCTTGCCACATGGCTGTAGGCGCTGCTGTTAAAAAATAGCACTTCTGGCTGATGGCAGAGAAAAGGAGACCAGCACAGCACCATCAAGTTCATGCAAAGAAGGGCGCCAGATCATAAAAGTGAAGGAAGATCGACATTCCAAAGGTGACTAACTTTCTTTTCTTTCCCTGGTGATCAGTTAGCGTCAGATTTTGTCGAGCTCGGTGGTGAGTAAGCCAGTCACCAGCCAGGGTGACTTTTTGTGCTCCACTGCTGTTGCAAATTATTTGACTGATGCTACCCTGTAGCTGTCGGCCTATGATGTAAGGGCGCAGATATATGATCGGTGTCAGCGCGCATTTCTTGACTGCGAATTTGAATCTACATGATTGGACAGTGATCATCTCCATCAGCTGTTTCATGTGAACTCCTAAGATTTCTGTTTCACATTATGATTCGACTTTTCTGACAGCGTGAAGTCAGCACGCATCATGTGGTCGCTAGTTTGACTGTATGTACTGGCAGATGTTTGCCTCTGTGCTGTTTTCGAGTTTTGCATCATTTTCATATAAGTGAGAAACTCTTAGTAAGGACAGTGCAAAAAATTTTGTCAGTTTAGTGAAGTTAAAGGTTTTGTTTTACGACGGCGCGATTGCACAAGTTCATTAAACTTATGCAACGTCATGTTTCCGTGTTTTGGATCTGTACAATTTAAAAACGCTTGTCTCTATCGCCTTTTCGACTTTTTACATCACGTTGCATTTCAGTCGAAAGCTTCCTCAGAGCGCGATACTAAATCTCTGCCAAACTCTTTGTGAATTTCTATCATTTTTATTTCATTTCGTGATTCCATGTGATGATTGTACGAGGCGATTAGGTCAGGATAAAGCCATGTGGTCGCAAGTACGAGTAGATATAACTGATATAATTGTTTGATTCACCTCCTCTTGCTGTATTCGGTGGAAAGTTGTCTGTAAACAAAAAGGCAGAACTTTTGTTAATATTTTAAATATAAATTTTTTTGAGTGATTTGATGCGTTTGCACGAGGAGATTAAGTCAGAGCAGCGTCCGTCACTGTTATGACTTCGCATGTATCGCATGTCGAAGTTTACATGATTCAGGTGGCAATGACTGAAAGCTCTGCAGTCCAGCCGTTTATTTCTGCGCGAGTCGTTCAGCATGCGTTCCAGAACCTCGAAGAAGATCATGACATTAAGTCGACTCTTCATCCGTGCTACTTATACATATGTCTACTACCTGTAATAATTTTCTTATCAAAGTGTTGAACCTGAACAAATAATGGCACTGGCCAAATGTTTCACAAAATTTGAATTTGTGCGCATAAACTGCACTTAAAGTTCAATTTTCATGCTACAACAAGCTGAAGTGTACAGTGACTTTCTTTTATATCGCAAAACTTGATAAGTATCATATCACTGCCCCATTTCACAGTCATACGTTAACTCACGGAGATAAGTAATAATAAATTTATTATGATAGTCAAACTTGAACAGTGAACACTCATGTTTTATACGGAAGATTGTTTTCCAAGGTCTTCATGCTTCTTACAGGACTGAGCCGCGTGTACACTTTATTACAGAAATCACGAGCGTTTTGAGTCATACTCAGCTCGTGTCAAAGTACAATGACTCAACCAGCTTTGATGAAAGTCAAACCGTCTCATCTGACGTCAATCGTTATGCGAATTGATCTTTATCAGATCTATTTGTATGATTGTAAACTGACAATGAGTCGTGTACAGCTCGGACCATCGGTGATTTCTGTAGTAAAACGTATATGCGGAGCAATCCCGTTAGAAACATAGATTACGCTAGCTGTTCACAACAGATATTATTCTTTCGTCCATCTCACCGTATTCCTTTAATTTGACTAGTGGTTGATGACCCAAAACAATCTGCTCGAAATATATTTTTCGACTCTTTCGCAATTTTCGAAGACCATCGATAAACTTCCATATCAATTAATGTGGCATTCCCGACTCGGTCTGAATTTGTCGTTGGGCTGCTTCCGTCTCGTACGGTGTTCGCTGTTGATCGTTTCTGGTGAAAACAACGCCGGACTTCTGGTAATTCCTCTACGATTCAAACCCCGACGTAATTGCCATCGAACGACTCAAGAAGCTGCCGTATTTGTTCCTTCTTCAGCCAGCATGTCGATCGCTTCGTCTAGCGC